TCAGGAGCCCATGCTCTTCATTGGAACCATCGCTGAGAACATCGCGTACGGCTTGGCAGAGCAGCCGAGTCAGCAACAGATCGAAGAAGCTGCCAAGATGGCCAACGCGCACGACTTCATCACGCAGTTCCCGGCCGGCTACGACACTCAGGTAGGGATGAAGGGGGAGCAGTTGTCGGGAGGGCAGAAGCAGCGTATCGCCATTGCTCGAGCTATTCTGAAGAACCCGAACGTCTTATTGCTGGATGAAGCCACGAGCGCGCTGGACTCGGAGAGCGAAAAGGTGGTACAGGAAGCGCTGGACAAGGTGGTGGCGTTGAAGCGACGGACAACTATCGTCATTGCTCATCGGTTGTCGACGATTCGCCGCGCTGACAAGATTTGTGTCGTGAGCGGAGGCAAGATCGCGGAGCAGGGCACACACCAGGAGTTGTTGCAGCTGAATGGGATCTACGCTGGTCTCGTGGAGTCTGCGTCGATGTGAGGGAAAGACATTATTGACTCCACAGCCAACCCGCTAAGGTTAAACTTACTAATGATTATTAATAAACTTTTCGAGGAAAATTTGAAAGGATCTCGTCGACTGATACATGAAGTTTCCAATACAATTAGCATCCGAACCGGTATCATTCTCTATGCTGGCTGACTTCACTTTTCTTTACATGTATTGATTAAATTATTCAAGAAAATATCTACGTGAGTATTGATTACGCAGACTCAGCATCTGAATCGCCAGAATTTAGAATTACTTAGTTATCGTATACTTCTGAAGTATTTGGCACGATAACAAATTTTGCCTGTATTTTTATTAAATCGCAATCGATAGGACGACGTTCAGCGCTGGATGACTGTCATTCCGTCCGAAATCAATGCCTGAATGAATGAAAAAGTACAGTAGTCGAGTTGTTAGGATTACAAAAAAAATTGATGTTCGCAATCAAAGCGACTGTGTGGGGGCTGATCTTGCGCTTTTAAGCCTACTTTCTTAAAAGAAAACCATTTCTGCACGAAACTAGGCCGAAGTACAGTGATATTGTTACCGCAGCAATATATGCCGAGCTGAAAGTGTAATATGGTCGTTGGAATTCTATGGTCATTCGATGGCTTTTTAGCGTCGAATATGTCGCCCCGCCCTCCGCCTTCTTGATTATATTCCGTTCTGCTGATGCCAGCTTGCTTCATCACAATCCAAGAAGATAATGGTTCTTGGCCAGTAATGTGTACATGTACTTATATTAAAACGTTAACTTAAGTATCGTAATTGAAGCCAAGGAGAATATGATTCCACGGAGCTAAAGCTGTACTAAGCGGAACTGCCAGCGCTATCCAACCTGGAGGTTCCATTAATAAAAGCCTCGCGGGACAGCTAATGCTGATGCCCTCTGAATGATTACCATTCAAACTATTGAAGATGTTTATGAGCCTATCAAATAGCCTACGTCAGTCTTCTCGAAAGGATTGATGAGCGATCAGCTCTCTACGATCGTCTCGTTGCTGTCAAACAGGGCAGGTGCGCGCACGATGCGTGTTTGTCCATTTTACAAGTCGCCACCTTCAGCTCAAGCTCATCACATCGCGACTACAGCCAATAGTCCTCGTTCTTCAAGTCTGCAGTGATTTCTAATGCCAAGTCTGGACAAGTCCGACTTAATACCAAGCGATGAGATCTCCTATCAGCGAGTAGAAACCCCTCGCGCCACTGGGCTCGACATCAAAGCCAAAAAAGATGGCACCAGCAGCGAGTCCGACAGCTTGGAGCCCAAACTCCTGGACGAGGTCATGAATGGTGGTCCCACTCCCTTCAAGTTAGCAAGTTTGTACCGCTACGCCACACCTTTCGACAAAGTTCTGCTAGGAGTCGGGATTGTTGCGACGGGGGCCAACGGTGCGTTGTTCCCGCTTTTGGCCATTGTGTTTGGCGACGTATTGTCGCATTTTGCATCGACACCCGTGGATATGGACAAGGTCAACAGTGCAGCGCTAGATTATCTGTATATCGCCGTCTTCATGTTCATCACGGACTACATTTCGTACGTGGCATTCTACTACAGCGCAGAGAGACAGATGAAAATATTGAGAAGTGAAGCCTTGAAATACATGCTGTACATGGACATCAGCTGGTACGACGAGAACGACGCCCTGCAACTATCGAGTCACTTGACTGGTGATACAGTGAGAATCAAAGATGGAATGGGTCAAAAGCTCGGAGATTCATTCCGATTCGTCATCCAGTTTATCGTGGGTTTTATTATTGGATTCGCCCGTGGGTGGGATATCACCCTAGTGATGGCGTGTGTCATGCCTCTCACTGAGTTGGTTGATTAAGACGATGCGAATCAAGTCAGACTGGGCACAAAAGGTGTACGCTGAGGCTGGCTCGGTCGAAGAGGAGACGCTGGGGTCGATTCGGACAGTGGCGTCGTTGAATGGCGAACATAAAGCCATCACCAAGTTCGAGAACAAGGTGTTTGAAGCGGAAAAGGAAAATATCGCACTACACAAGATGTCATCCGCTGTGTTTGCCTTGTTCTTGGCCAGTATTTGGGTTATGTACTCAATTGGCCTTTGGTACGGAGGCTGGAAGGCTTCGAAAGGTGACACGACACCCGGAGATGTGTTTGCTGCGTTCTTCGCTGTCATGATGGGTACAGGTGCACTTGCACAGATTTCTCCTAATGTTACGGCGGTGTCCAAAGCTGCTGGTGCTGCAGAAGAGTTGTTTGCCATCTTGGACACTGCGAGTGCTATTAACGCCGAGAAGGAAGGCGAAGGAATCATCCCTGACAAGTGTGAAGGCAAAATTGAGGCGGTGAATGTCAATTTTACGTACTTGAGTCGTCCTGACGCCCAGATCCTGCGGGACTACAATGTGACTATCGAACCGGGTCAAACGGTGGCATTTGCTGGTGCTAGTGGGGGTGGGAAGAGTACGTTGATTGCGTTGATTGAGAGATTCTACGACCCCACGAGTGGCACGATCTACCTTGATGGTCGAGATGTCAAGACGCTGAACGTCAAGTGGCTACGTTCACAGATCGGTATGGTCTCTCAGGAGCCGGTGCTATTCGCGACGTCCATCTTCGAGAACATCGCTATGGGTGGCGACAACGTGACTCGTGAAGAAGCCATAGAAGCGTGCAAGCTGTCGAACGCACACAACTTCATCATGTCGTTACCGGAGAACTACGATACGCTGGTTGGAGAGAAGGGTGTGTCTCTTTCTGGCGGTCAGAAGCAACGTGTAGCCATCGCTCGTGCTATCGTACGTAAGCCGAATATTTTAGTGTTGGATGAGGCCACGAGTGCTCTAGACACCGAGAGTGAGAAGATCGTTCAGGCGGCATTGAACAATCTGATGGCCACGACGAACATGACGACGCTGGTGATCGCTCACCGATTAAGTACGGTTCGAAGCGCTGACAAGATCGTCGTGCTGAACGAGGGTCACATCGTGGAGAGCGGCACTCATGATGAGCTACTGAAGATCGAGCACGGTATTTATCAGAAACTGTACCTTATCCAGGAGCTGCGTTCACTAGAAGAACACAGAACCTGTGCGTCATGAGGCAGTCAACGATCTCGCAGTATGAAGCCATTACGCACGATGAGGGGTGTATTAACCCAGACAGACATCTCTGTGAGTGCTGTGGAGAAGAACCTCTTGGGATAAACAACCATTCACTTTGATGGACATCGCTCGGTTGAGCAAGCCAGAGATGAACTACTTCATTGGCCGGGTTGATTGGAACTTGGGTCGGTGGAATCGCAATGCCCGCGTCTGCTCTGTTGATCACTGGAATGATCACGTCTATGACGGAGAAGTACGCCTTGTACGAGAACACTGGAGACAGATCCTACCTCAGCGACTTGTACGACAACGTAGAGTTGTACGGTATCTTGTATCTCGTTGGCGCTGCTGTGATCGCGATCTTCATGTACATGCAGACTTACTGCTTTAAGTTTATCGAGGAAAAGACGACGACGCGTCTCCGTAACACGAACTTCGAGAGTCTCTGTCGACAGAACGTTGGGTTCTTCGATGAAAAAGAGAACGCGACCGGTGCGCTGACGGCTGACCTCGCCACGAACGCCACCAAGGTTGCATTACTGTCCGGTGACTCGCAAGCTCGTGTGTTCCAAGCCATCTTCACGTTGATCGCGGCTTTGGTGATCTCGTTTGGCTTCGGGAGCTGGCTATTGTCTCTCATCATGTTGGCTATTATGCCGTTCTTGCTGTTTGGGCATATCGCTCGTATGAAGCAAATGCAAGGCGGAGGTTTAATCTCGGACGATTTGGCCATCCCAGGCGCCCATGCGTCCGAGGTTCTCAGCAATATTCGAACTGTTGCTGCTCTGGGGATTGAAAAGAGATCTGCTGACGTTTTCGATGAGTTACTGGAAGAACCGCTCCAGAAAGGCAGCAAGGAGGCGCAGATTAATGGCGCATCGCTTGGTTTCAGCTCGTTCATTATGATGGCGACGTACTCACTCATCTTCTGGTTTGGAGCCAAGAAGGTGAATGACGGATCGGTTGGATTTACGGAGATGATGCGAACTCTCATGGCAATTATGATGTCAGTTCAAATTGTCAGTGGTGCCTCGTCCTTTATGGGGGATGCACCGAAGGCGTTCAAGGCCGGATCGACTATCTTTGCTATCCGTGACCGAGTTACTCCGATCGATTCTTTTGATCCAGATGGGCTTCGTCTGCCTAAGGTCGAAGGGCGTTTGGAGTTCAAGGACATCTCGTTCCGGTACCCGACGCGTCCGGAGATCAACGTGCTTAAGCACTACACCCTCACTATCGAGGCAGGTCAGACTGTGGCGTTCTGTGGACCCAGTGGCGGCGGCAAGAGTACTATTATTTCGCTCATCGAGCGCTTCTACGACCCTGTGGTGGGTGAAGTTCTATTGGACGGCCACAATATTAAGGACCTGAACTTGGGTTGGCTACGTAGTCAGATTGGACTGGTGGGTCAGGAGCCCACGCTCTTCATTGGAACCATCGCTGAGAACATCGCGTACGGCTTGGCAGAGCAGCCGAGTCAGCAACAGATCGAAGAAGCTGCCAAGATGGCCAACGCGCACGACTTCATCACGCAGTTCCCGGCCGGCTACGCCACTCAGGTAGGGATGAAGGGGGAGCAGTTGTCGGGAGGGCAGAAGCAGCGTATTGCCATTGCTCGAGCTATTTTGAAGAACCCGAACGTCTTATTGCTGGATGAAGCCACGAGCGCGCTGGATTCGGAGAGCGAAAAGGTGGTACAGGAAGCGCTGGACAAGGTGGTGGCGTTGAAGCGACGGACAACTATCGTCATTGCTCATCGGTTGTCGACGATTCGCCGCGCTGACAAGATTTGTGTCGTGAGCGGTGGCAAGATCGCGGAGCAGGGCACACACCAGGAGTTGTTGCAGCTGAATGGGATCTACGCTGGTCTCGTGGAGTCTGCGTCGATGTGAGGGAAAGACATTATTGACTCCACAGCAAACCCGCTAAGGTTAAACTTACTAATGATTATTAATAAACTTTTCGAGGAAAATTTGAAAGGATCTCGTCGACTGATACATGAAGTTTCCAATACAATTAGCATCCGAACCGGTATCATCACTTTTCTTTACATGTATTAATTAAATTATTCAAGAAAATATCTACGTGAGTATTGATTACGCAGTACTTCTGAAGTATTTGGCACGATAACAAATTTTGCCTGTGTTTTTATTAAATCGCAAGGATATTTATCAGGAGTAACCTCAACATCAACAAATGTTGCAGTAAACACCTCAAGTTTAGTTTTAGCCAATACGTAATCAACAAAGCAAAGTCGATTTTTTAAGTCAGGCGGTAGTCGCACCGGGCAAGCGGTTGAGGGCAACCAAAGGAAGTTCAGCCATAGTAAGCGCGTCGCCAAGCTCCGCATGCACTGGACAGTAGAATCGCACCGGCAAGCCCGTTATGTAGAGATAAGCTCTCTGCTTTTTGATAGTCTCGCGGCCATAGTGGACAAGCAGTAGCAGTGCCGGCTGCAACCAGCACCGCGGCCAAGAATGAAGCGGCAGTCGATGCCGAATATCTACGCGGGATTGCAGATGTACTCGGAGGCGTAGCAGAAGCCAAACCCGCGGAGGATACTGCAAGGATCTCAATGCTACTACAGCGATACTGCGTGTACATTACGAAAAATTCCATCATTAACATAATTCACGCGTACGGATATTATATATCTTTTTATTAAAGTTTTATGATTTCATTGTTCGTCTCCGATATACAGTAATATCCATCCTTGCGGGACTCCACATGCGGTATACGGGGAGGTATTGACCACATATTCACCAGCTACTATCCCTTCATCAACCGATTCTACATCGCCTGGCGTGTTCGTACAACGACGTGAGTTATGCCCGGGTACCCCGCAGGTGCTGCAAGTGTATTGCGATCTAGATTTTGTTGTGGGGCCTAAAATCGACTCTCCAATCTCAGTCAGCATATTGCTCACAGTTGAGGCCTGGTCAGGCTCTGTGGAAGGTGGAGGTCTAGTATAAGGAACCTCCCCGTTGCTAAGATATCGTTTTGCGTAGTTTTGACGA